GGATATGTATGAATGTATCGTAACTAATATAGAAAGTCTCACCAATTCGGATTTTGACTTACTTTATTTCTTGATATTATTAATCTATGATTTGTTTGATTGTTTATTTATTTGTTTGTGTTGACATCATTTAAGTTCAACCATACAACAACTCTTTTGTTCCCTTCGTTTTCCCTCTAAAGAATCCAAATTTTCTTACCAAACCTAATCGTTCTATCTAGATTTGATGGATTTTTGTGTACGCGGAAAATTATTTTGTTTTTAGATAAGTTTTTGTTTTATCATTTGTGTACGAAAATGTTTGTGTACTCTTTGTGTTCAGTACAGCTTTAGAATCCATCTTTTCACCTTTCTTACCATAAATTATATTTAACTGTTTTTTATGTTCAAGGTTCTAGACTACTGAATTGTAATTAGCAAAGTCAAATATAGTTTATTACTGATATAAAATTCATATATATGATTGTTCCCATTACTGTATCACTTAAATTAATCCCCATCACTATTTAAGCTTTTATAAGGTAAAACCCTTGAATTAAATATCATATAAACATGCAAGTTCCACACAAACTATTTTTAGCCACTATTTACTTCTAACATAGCCAAAAAAACATTTCTTTTTTTGAATTGGGAAACTAGTCTATAATAAGTCAGTTTGTAAAAACTTCTCTGATTATTAAAAAAAATCCAACAAATTCCACCTCTATTAGGAATTAAAAAAAAAAAGAGTAGTGAAATGAAGACAAAGTTTACACCTAATTAAAAATTACATTTTTGGTAAAATGATCTACGCTGAACCACAAAGAAAACTAATGAAAAGATGACCCGATCTATGAATAAGCATAACACCATTTCCATTAATAATAGTATTTATTTTATAAATAGTCGATGAAATCGAAACACGAATCTGGTCGACAGAAATGAATGGACCTTTTTGTGCAATTGTCAAAGCCAAGACTTGTTTGAAAGGAAAAATATAGTTTACATTTCTACTGACAAAAACTAAATTAAAAGAAATATATGATTATTTGTTTTGGTAAAGATAGACAATTGGTTGGAATCAACTATACTAATTTTCCATTTGAAGTTGTTTGTTGCCTAAGGCCTACGCTGCGACTATGACTAACTTCAAATTTTAAATAAGGAGTTATACTACTTTTTTCTAAGTAATTGATTGGAAAATGTGTTGACATTTCCAACTTACTTTAAGAGAAAAGAATACTAATAGGATCGATCGACTAATCAATCCATACCAAACAAATCACATGATTCACATTCATCAATTATCTTAGACTCTTAGTAAGTTTAACATCCGACTATGGCATCTAAAAGATGATGATTCATTTGGTGTTATATTTTCCGATTTCGGATATTTGCAGTGATATGTTTTATGTCAACTTGGGCCTTTAGAGACACTGCTAATTTTATTAATTCATTATAATATGGCCTGCTAGATTCATTCACTTGCAAGTATATGTATTCAATGGGCCGAAACTAAATAGCCCATGTAAGATGAAGAAAAAATCAAAAAAAAGATGTTGACAGTGGGATTTGAACCCACGCCCTTTCGGACCAGAACCTTAATCTGGCGCCTTAGACCAACTCGGCCATATCAACTTTTTGTTCTTATGATTTAGTATTATATATATAAAAGATAACAATAACTACAAATAACAACAATGAATTTGTCATGACTCCATGAGTCTGAGGAAAAAGAAACAAAGGGTTGGTTGTACTACGCAGTCTTCACTTGTGTGTTTATAGGATAAAAGATGGACAGAATAATAAGCAAAAGCCAAATCTAAAAATCAGATTAGACCGAATTTACAAAACCTGGTGTAGGTCCCGCCTTTGGGAGATGTAGGGCATTCGGGCTTGCACTTCCGGATATTCAAAAAATTTTTTTTTTTTACAAAACCTAGATATCAATTATTAAAGCATTAATGACAAGGACTACCACCAAAATCAAATGAAAGTCTTGAGGGTCTCTTTTCTTGTCTCTTCTTCATCACAATTGAATGGACACAGTACAATTCTTATCTAACACAAAAACGATACATAATTTTCAAAACTTTTCTTAATTTCTCGAGTGTGTCGGCTTATAGCAAAAATAGTATATGATAATGACTCCCGTCAATTAATCAAAGTAGACTCGTGAGTCGTGAGTCGTGATAATCCCTTCTCTTTCTATATTCATTGTCACACAACAAAAAAACGAATTAGTCAAAGATTGATACAAATCCCTAAATGATGCGACTCCCTGTTAAGTTTTAACGTATCATTAACCATCGGACAAAATTTTCTAAGAGATTTGGGGATTCATGGCTCTTTTTGTAAATAGTAGTCCACACATCTTTACAGTTTTATCAAAATGTTTTTCAGACAATTAAAGAAGTGTTTGTCATCGACGATAAAAAGCGATTCATGTATATACTTCAGATTATATTCTCATCGTACGTTATACTTTTACCTCACTTGGTATTAGAGCAGAACAAGCTGTTATAAATTGGAATATACGGGAGATATTTGGATTGAACAAAGAAGCACACTTGAAACTGTTATATATGTGAATGTGATCTGATCTTTGAAAAGAAAAGAAAATTTACATTTTAAATAATAAACAATAGGAAACAATTAAAGGAAGTAGAGACATGAATAATAGAGTAGTAATATGGTGTAACGTCAAAAGAGAATGCGTACGTTTTGCTTTTGTCATTACATTACACAACCAACGAAGAGGAATCTTTTTTCTCGTGGGTGGGATATTGCCATTGTGTTGTGTCAACCGAAAAACTATTATGTTAAAAGCAGGACTAATTAAGAAATCAATGTGTATAATTAGTAGTTCATAATACTCAAAAACATAGTATTTCTTTTGGGAAGAGGTGAGTAAAAAATTGTGACACGTGGTTGTATTTACTATTTATCTAGTTGTTTCGTCTCATTTTCCGGTAAATACAGGAGAAAACTCATAAATAGAGTATATACCAAATGTTTATACAAATGAACTCTCAAGTAAATAAGTGTTATAAGTGGAAGTGGTTGTCTTCTAGTTGTTTTGTCTGGTTGATGAAGTTACTGACTCTTTATCGCTACATGAAGGGTTTTTATATAATGGGATCCACTCCACAACCCACTAAAAGATGGGCATTAACGTAAATGTAACCGACAATGTGAGAGATCTAGACGTATATTTAAACTTTTGACTTCTTCTTCTTCATGTTTGTATCCCTCAAGAAGACTCTGAACCAAAAAAAAAAAAAAATTAATGGAGAAGAAACTTGGGATTATGGTCCTCCTCTTTGTTGTTCTTCTTCTTCAGTTCTCTGAGCTAATTAGTACAGCTCAACGTCCTTTGCAAGGGGATAACGAAGGTATATATACTCTCATATAAACCTTATATATGTATAACCCATGCATCATGCATGTATATGTATTATATCTATATATGAATTTACAAATTTAATTATGACTTTTGGTATAAATATATAAATTGAGGAATTTTTGAAAGATTGTTATCTTTTAAAGGATCACAGTTTTCTTTATAACATAAATCTCTTGTGGATCATTTAGATATTGACAATTTTCAAAGATCTTATTGTGATTCGTGGAACTTCTTTAAATTCGATAAAAAAATATCTAACCACAAATCTTATTTGTGAAAACTATGTTATTAATTAATCATACATAGTCTCAAATTTAATGTAAAGCATTTCAATGACCCATGATTCAAATCTTAGCATGAAATGTTAGGTTCCAGTCACTTGTAGTGTAGGAACCTTGGGATTACATAGAGTGTGACGAGAACCATTTTTGGTTATGTATCCTCAATGGTGAAAAAAAGAAGAGATAATAGTTCTCTAATTCTATATTCTTCTTTTTGAACTGGAATATTTACCTCTCACCAAGTTTTCACATTTTTGTAGAAGATAAAGGAAACAAGAATGATAATTGGCCTTCGGCTACTTCTGAGATGGCCCAAGAATTTTCATATGTAAAATACACTTTCACCTATCTTATAGTTTATCCATTTTCTTACTGCAATTATTCTTAACAAATAAAATTACATTTCTTTTTTTTTTTTTTTTTTCCTGAATTGTGTGGTTCAAGCTGATGGGAGAAGAGAAGTGTGAGGAGATGGATGAAGAGTGTATGAAGAGAAGAATGATCACTGAATCTCACTTGGATTACATTTACACTCAAAGCCACAACAAGCCTTGATTACCTCCACCTTTATATTTATTTACCATCATTATTATAATTATTATGTGAAGCTAAAATTAAACTTTAGTTTACAAAAAATATGAATAATCCAAACCTATAAAAGAATGAATTGTATTGTAGCAACACACTAAAATGCAAAACCCAAAATAAAAATATTTTTTTAAAAAAAGTTTAACTGTTAAATTTGTTTTAAATTTTAGTGAAAATCATTATTAATTTTTAAAAATGAGTTTAAGTGTTAAATCTATATCACGTGAAAACATGCCGAACTTCGAACACCAAAGCTTACGGACCAACTAAGGACATGATGCTTAGACGCGGTTAGTTTTCGACGTTCTCAAAAATTAACACTTAAACTAATTTTTAAAAAGTAATAGTGAAATTAACATGATTTTGGTTAAAAGCATTATTTTCTTAAAAATTAAGTGTTAAATTTATTTTAAATTTTAGTGAAAATCATTATTATTTTTTAAAAATAAATTTAAGTGTTAAATCTATATTACGTGAAAACATGCCGAACTTCGAACACTAAAGCTTACGGACCAACTAAGGACAGGATGCCTATGCGCGGTTAGTTTTCGACGTTTTTAAAATTTAACACTTAAACTAATTTTAAAAAAGTAATAGTAACATTAACATAGTTTTGGTTAAAAGCATTATTTTTTTAAAGTTTAATTGTTGAATTTATTTTAAATTTTAGTGAAAATCATTATTATTTTTCAAAAATGAGTTTAAGTGCTAAATCTATATTACGTGAAAACATGCCAAACTTCGAACACCAAAGCTTACGGACCAACTAAGGACGGGATGCCTAGGCGCGGTTAGTTTTCGACGTTTTTAAATTTAACACTTAAAATCATTTTTAAAAAGTAATAGTGAAATTAACATGGTTTTGGTTAAAAACATTAATTTCTTAAAGTTTAAGTGTTGAATTTGTTTTAAATTTTAGTGAAAATCATTATTATTTTTTAAAAAATAAAAAGTTTTATTTAGTTAAATGTTTTAGTGAAGATTTCAAACTAATTAGTTTTAGTTTTAATTTACCTAAACAAATTTTTAAAAAAAAAAACAAGACCGAAAAAGTAGTACCTTGTTGGATTTGGTAGCAAAGAAGGCCCATACTTAAACTGATATTTGTAATATGTCCAGTGCCTTCCCTGAGACACATTTATTCAACAAACATAATAGGATGGATTGATAAACAAATCCGCAATCAACTCACAACTATTCGGAGGATGGGAGATCGACGATACGACATGGCTTTTCAAGTGTGGCTGCAAGCTCGGGCTCAAACTTGAAGATCTTTGTACTATTTAAATTCTTGAAAACAGTTTTCAGATTTTTTCTCGGCAAAACGTTGTACTAGTTGTAAAAACGATATTTTTCTTTTAAATATAATTTAACATTAAATTCAAAAAAATAAAAAAGACACATTTATTACTTAGTTTATTTAGATGTTGAAACACAGTCCAGCACAACCGGTATATACGCATGAAAAGGCCTTCGAAGAACAGTGAGAAGGTATCATCCATGCACCTTACTCCAGTAGATAAAACCAGAAGATTCACAGACAAAAGCATAGTTTTGTGTTATATATCCTTCAAAATCAATGTTATTAGACCCTGGATTCTGTGAATAAGAAAGGCACAATCAAACTCATTATTATTATATATGTATAAGAGTGCATTCAAAATGAATAATGAATTAATAGTTCACCCGATAATAAACGGGTTTTTGTTCTAAACTATATGAAAGATCTTAAGGATCATCCATTGGCTTATTATCATCATCGCCAGTTGGCCAATTGAATCCAGTCTCTGTGATTCCTGCAGCAAATTGTTCCCAGCAGACATCAGGCAAACCATCACTTGTTGTTTCTGCAACATGACCAAACTCTGAGACATCATTATAGTCCATTGTGTTTCCCCATACATCGGTGTTGCTGAAACTCGGTATTGTAGTATCGAAACCCATACTCCATGTCGTCTCTTCTTGTTTAATAAGTCCTTCAGGAGATGGGAAGGACATCAAGTAATCTGGTTTGATCATCTCTTCTTCTGATGGATTCATCAAGTTCTTGCCTTTCGGATCGGTTCCTCCTATGCTTGAAGTCATCCCTTGGTGGCTAGAGAGTGGAGTGGTCTCAGTCTCTTCGTCATACATTAGCAATCTCTCCCAATCATCAGCTTCATACTTCACCATCTCCCCTCCTGTTGGAGAATCTTGAGGCTGCTGGTGCTTGATGAACTTCTTTCTCGCCTTTTCCAATCCAAGAGCTCCTCCTTTTTCTCTTCCTTTGAGGTTCTTCAGGCGTTCCAAGAAACCCGGGTTCTGAAACAACTTAGCCAAGAAAGAGAGCAATTGCTTCTGACGTTGCTCTGCAGCTTTCAGTCTCTGGTTCACAGTGTCCACATGTCGAGCTGTGCCTCTGCTTTGCTGCTGAAGCTCAACCATTTCCTCCATCAACGCACGCCGCTCTTTCCTCAGCTTCTCAATCTCTCCTCCAACCTCAGTAGGTGACCCTTGGCTTTGGCTGGTGCTACTGCAGCAAGTTTGGTTGGATTGTGGTGATCGACGACGATGAATGTTCTTCAGAAGATGCTTCTTGCCTCTAAGGAAAGCCTCGTTAGCAAATTCCCACTTGTCAGTATCAATCTTTCGAAATCCCTGGAAACATTCCAACCCCACAAAAAACTCAAAAAAGCTCAAGAACAAGTAAGTAAACACATTTACATCAAAACAAGATCAAACCAGTAGATTGTAGACCAAATATCTCAAGATATCAGAAACATTCTACCTTTGAAGCGTGAAGAACATGTGAGTAATGTCTTAAACCGGACAGAAGTTAACATTGTGTGAAAATAACAAAACTTCATAAACCAAAGTTCTCCATTCAAACGAAACCATAATTATACAAGATTACACAAGCTTATTTCACATGAGAAGTTATTATAAGATTCAAACGAGGCCAAAATTTCATAGATACAAAATTCAGTGTTACATGACAAAGAGATTAAACAAATCCCAAAAGAAAATTACAGGTATTTTCTTACAAGTTATCAAAAAACAGTTTCAAGAATCTATACAAAATGTTATTGGTCATCAAAAAGATTACAGAAAAAACAAAAACTGAAAGAAAGAAGAAGAAGTGAAGAAGAATGATGAGTCTATCTAGAAAACAGAAACAGAGCAAGAGATGATTACATAAGTGTTAAGCTGTCTGACGAAGCTGGAGAAATTGTTGTGTTTGAAATTCCGTGGAAGTATGATTCTGGCGAACTCTAGAGGATCCCAAACAACGAAGCTAGCTCCAGTGAGTCCCCAAGAGATGACCGGGTCAAGAGTCGGGTCATCAACCAAATCGAAAGTCTTGGATAAAAAAGGTGGAATTGGATTCCCTTGTAAGATGTCTAGTGGCATGGGAAGTGGTGACCCAGAGAAACCCATGTCAGTGTCGACGTAGAGAGACCCGGGTCGGGTCGAAACGGGTACTGAGATTGGAGTTGGTTTAGAAACAGCATCTTTTTTTGGGCTCATTTGAAATAGTATAAAATTAACGGTTTAGTGAGAGAGGAATTGGTAATTAAGAAAAGGTGTTAAGGGAAGATGAGAGGTTTAGCGTTTATAAAGGTTTAGGGAAGGAAGTAACCGACAAACTGTAGTCAGATATTCAAAAAAAATCTGGGGAATAGAGAGGCGGTGGAAATGGGTGGGTCAGTTCCCGCCACCGTGGATTCATCTTTTTCGTCGTCATCTTCCATTGATTCGTCCGTTTTGGTAACAAAGAATTTTACAACCGACATTGAAATTGAAAGTTGTTTCCTTGCAGCTTCGCTTATTAAGAGGTCTCTGTGATTTTTGGTGAAGGAGAGAAAGTGGTGAAGGCTGGTGGGTCCCACGTGATCTTTAGATATCTGAAAGGGGAAAGTAGTGATTTAGCGCGTTTGCCAGGTCAGCTTTCTAGTTTGGGCCCTCACTCGCAAATCACAGATTCGCTTTTCGTGTTTCCTTTTTCAGACTTTAATATTGTGTTACAGTACTCCTATTATTTTGATTTACGCAATCCTATTGGTTACCAATCCATCAAACGATTTTAGTGGTCTTTTTTTTTTTATTAATTAAAAAAACAGGTAAAGTCGTTTTCAAGAGTGGGAGGTCAAAGTTACTTAGAGGCGAAGGGAAAAAATAGTTGACTATCTTAGATATTTTCAGTCCCCATGCGTTTGTTTAACGATTTGAGATATTTTGAACTCTCTAATTACGACACGAGTGTTTCACTTTGCCTGCTGCTTCATTTTACGAGCCTTGGTTACTAGTTTAAGTCCAGACTAATCGCATGGATAATTCCACAGTGAACAAATATGTGTATCCAATGAATCATATTGAGTTTGCAAAACCCTTGACAGTAGCTTTGCTTAGTAACTAATTTAGCGGTATAAATGTACAACAAGGTAGTAATTAAAAATAGATTTAAGTGCATTACTACAAGATATAACAACAAAATATTGCTTACCCTTTGGGACTAGATAGATAGATTATCTCCCACACTGTTTCCGTTACTACATTTTTTTTTCCTTCCTGTCACAATAGTCATGTACATTTTAACAATCTGCAACATTAAAAAGGGACCAAAACAGTAGACAAAGATCGCAAAAGAATACATGTATAAGAACCAAGCGATTCTTTAGGATATGATTGATAGCTCATGAGGAATGTACCTTAACAGCTATCTTAACTAGTGTCTCCCTCCTGGGCAGCAAAAGAATGCTGAGAGTATATGTGCATGAGGATTTGTTTGGGATTTTACAAATCCGAGCGGTTGGGTGGAGGAACTGCCGATTTGATCAATGGTCTTAACAAGTCCATTATAGTTGCAAACGATGGACGCTTCCATGGCTCACTGGCAATGAAACATATGCATAAACATGACGCCTATTCAAGGAGAATTCAGAAAAAGAGAAAGAAAAATCTTAACGTACTTGGTCCAACAACCCTCGATTATGGCTGCAACCTGAGGATTCAGATTCCGCGGGATCTCAAGCCGTTTACACTTGAAACCAACCGCAGCTACAACCTATATTGCATTTTTTTTTGTATGATCATATAGCATGTTATGAAATGTAGAGCGAGACTTTCTAATGCAGTATAAGATTATTATTATCAAGATGTTTTGGAGTGGAAAGTACCTGAGCCGGATTTAAGTTACCCCATGGTTGTTGCAATGTAGCAAGCTCCCACAAGATGACCCCAAAGCTGTACACATCTGACTTTTCATTAGATGGCTCATCTCGCAGGACTTCTGGTGCCATCCACTCGGGCTGATATATCAAAGTCAGTTATTATTTAACTTCCACTGGAAAAAATAATTATGTAGGACCTAGAAGAAAGTTAAGTTGTTCAGCTTGTTTTAGCTATAAACAAACTGAACTTACGGTTCCAGCTGCTGACTTCGATGAAAGAAACGTGCTGGCCTTCAATCGCGAGAGACCAAAATCACAAACCTGAAATTTCAAGACAAATTGAAGAGTTAGATATAGAATGTTTTGATGGTTTTTAAGACGACAGCTTGAGACTGCTGCTTTTTTAAGTTTCAGTAGATTAACGTCTTTTTGCAATGTCCCCAAGATGATTTAGTATTAAATTATATATATGTAAGCTGGTCTCAAGAGGAATGATATATACTAATATATCAAAATCAAGACACTGGACACAACAACTACTGATTTAGATTCAAACCTTGACTGTATATTTTTTGTCAACCAACAAGTTTGGAGATTTTAGATCTCTATGCACAATTGGAGGATTGCGATTGTGAAGATAATTCATTCCCTTAGCCTGCAACAGATAAATGGAAAGAAATTCTATGTGAACAAACACCAAGATCAGAAGCAATCAACTTAATACGCACCCATACATGTCAAGAAAGGAAATCAAACATACCACATCATAAGCCATACTCAGGCGACGTCTCTCATCTAATTGCTCCCTTGCTCCACTTTTATGCAAAAGTCTGTATAAACTACCTCTGTTTGAAAGAAAGCATGGTATTAGCGTCATTATAGGCTAAAAGTCTACACTGAATACATAAAACCTTCAAAATCCAGGTAGTTACCTTGACAAATATTCTGTCACTATTGACAAATTTGGAGGTTGAGTGACCGCACCCATGAAGAGAACAATGTTAGGGTGGCGAAGGCGTTTCATTATTGCAACCTGACAGCGAATCAAGATCAAGGAAGGCATTATCAATACGCTAAGTCCATTATCAAAATCAAGAGCAAATTTTTGGTTGTGCACCTCTCTTAAGAACTCATTGACGCGCTCAGCATGGAAGTCTTGCTCCATCAGAATTTTCACAGCAACATCCTGAAATTGATAGAGAATATTACTGCAATAATCAAAATCAGAATTCTTCTCGTGATGGCATTGGAAACTTCAAACAGGAAGACAAATTTATGATATACAGACAAGTATCTAATTTGGGACACTTTTTGTCCATGTTTAATTTATGACAGAACGGAGTCAAAGATATAATAATTTTGCCTTTTTAACACCAAACAGATCCAAAACTCACAACCAAATTTTTAGTGCAAAAAAAGTCAGCTGTTTAAAATTCTGACAAAAAAGTTCTTACCGAGCCATGCCACTCAGCACGGTGGACAGTGCCAAAGGAACCTGAAAGAGCAGTAGCTCAAATTAGAGCGGTAACAGAGAAGAATGTAATCTCAAAATGGGCAGCACTTTTTTCCTTATTTTGTTCGAGAACAGAGTCCAAAGCAAAACCACTAACTCAAGAATTTCACAGTTCTTTGCGTTTTAGACCAAATCATTTATTTTTCCGTAAAATTATTACCTGCTCCAATCTTCTCTTTTATATTAAGATCACACCACGGGATGTCCATATCATCACCATCAAGTCCAAGTTCCCTATTTGCCCTGTTCGGAACTGGCTGATTGGTTGGTGGGGCATTCATAGGTACTGCTTCTACTTGATTTGATGCACGCATCATGTTCTGTGGAGGCATATTAGCACTTGGTGGCAAAGACCCACCATTTTCTGCCGATGCGTCATTCTCTCCACCCGGATTATCATATTGCCTATGAAACATTGAGAATCCCATATCATCTACAACCATTCAAACAAGCAGATATAAGAAATCAGAGTTCAGAAGACAAGTCTTGCACATAAATGCACTAGAATTCATATGCATGAACAGCAGTCTAACAAGTTTAACCATAAATATCACTAGGCAAAGCACCCACCAACACACACACATACACATCAACAGCCAAAAACCATTATATTGAAAAGAGACAAGAAAACAAACAGAATCATTCTAAGACTACTAACCCTTCATATATTGAAGACATGATCAAGAAATACCCAAAATGATAGGAGATTCCACTTTTAGGGGAAATGCAAAAGAGATGTAAGCAGCATGCAAAAAGTTAACATATTATTCAGGTTTAGTCTATGGGAATACCTGATGCAGGATCGAAAACAAGATTAAGAGACTGGCTGTCGGAGAAATATTGTTTGGCTAGTAACCTAAAATCGACTGCGGGTTCAACTGGCTTGGGTCGTGGAAACCGTAAAGGTGAAGAAATTGAGATAGATGAAGGCCCATTTAGCAAGGAATCAGGCTCCCATAAGTGACCTGGCTTCCCTACTAAATCAACCAGGTACTCCCTGAAACCAAAACAAACTTTCCACGTCATCAACCTAATATTTTGTAAAACATTTGGCGCTATAATTGTTTCTACAGAAACAAAAAGCAAAGCAAATAGGAAAAATAAAGGCCCTTTTGCAACCACTTGTATCATACCTATCAAGCCCAAACCTGACAAGGCATGATGCGGCATCGTCTCTATTACAATATTTGCATCCCTTTGCAATTCGACAGGGTAAATCAATTATGTCAGCCAGCACCTGCATGCACCAAATGGCAGCTATAAACTCTTATTTTTCTTTGAATTATTTAACTACCAGTAACCTATTTTTTTCTAGCCAATAACACCACTTTTCGCAATCAACTTTCTTCACATGTATTACAATACAAACAAATGGATGAAGCGGAATAATTTTTATGATCATTTCAAAAGACACGTCTTAAATGTCATGGGAATAGCATCAAAATTGGGATCTCACTTTGAAGAGTAAAGCTCGATGTCTGCAGAGTCCAACAGAGAGGCTACCTATGGGAACCACCACTTTGAAGATTTCTTTTAGACCATCAATGCACTCCTTCCACATGGGAACCAACTCATCTTCCCCCATGATAACTGGACCCCTGAGGAGGCGAGAATTAACGATTACCAAGCGATGTCAGAAATCACAGGAAGATATAAAAAAAAACTTCAAAAGATTGTAAGGATTGTGTGAGTACAAACCCCATACGATTGCAGATAAGCTTTGCCAGCTGATCAACAACCTCTTTTGTGGTAATGCAGCTACAAGATATGTCGTGGACTCTATTGTGAAGTTCTTTGAAGGCTGGATCACTACGCCTATCAACTATGATCGCTTCAAGCGAAGAATCAACACCAGAATCAACAGCTCTTAATGATTCAATTGAAGGGATGCGGCCACTTTCATGCAGATCGATGCATAAGGTCCAAATATATGGATCCAGACCATTCATCATATAAAACCCATCAGGAACTTTATCATAGTACGATAAGCAGCCATTAACCTGATGCAGCACACAACACAATCATACTCTGCAATGTATCTAAACAACATATCTCATCTGCTACTAATAGATTTATTTCTCTTTCTCAATCAGTCTCAACACAGAAAATATTAGCAACTCATCTCAAGCAGACATTGATAATCTCAGACTCTAACCCTTCAAACACCTCCTGAAGCATCCGATAGTCTTAACACCCATAACATCTAAAACTAAAGAATTCTAATATTTCTAGATCTCTATACTAATTCCTTTTGGTAAGGAGATCTAACTGAAACTTCGGAAACAAGAGTACCAAATCTATATAACCAGAGCTTAACAGGAATGAACAAAAGGTAAGCAAACCAGTACCCAGAATCGATGTGAAACGGTTTCGGCTGAACTTGGCGAAGTCCGTAAAGCAGACTCGTCCGGTACAGGATCCAGAAAGTTCGGATCGTCGGCACAAGTAGCCTCCGACGAAAGCCGTAACGCCAATGCAAGCTGGAGCTGATAACTCTCCTCCGTCTGCTGCGCCCAGCTCTTCCCGGATGAAGACCCTCCAGCCGATTCCCCCGCCATCTGTATCCTCAAATCTCCTCCACCACCACCAAATCCAAGCCTAAACCCATCGTCTTGAGGAAATCCAACAGATTCGATCTCGTTAGCCGCCGCAGAAAGCGTAGGCATATAATAATCCCCAGACAAAGAGCTCTCACCGAAACTACTCCCACTCGATTGTCTCTGCAAGCCAAGAGACGAAGCATACATATTATTCCCTACCCGATTCGGTTGATTACTCAACCTATGATCACCACCACCACCGCCGCTAGGATCCCAATCAAATCCGCCTCTCTCCGTCTTAGTTTTCCCGTTGTTCCCGCTGTTATTGTTGCTCCTGTTTTCGCTTGACAAGGAATCATAGTGCGGCGGAGGAGCTCCGGTGACGGAAACTGAGACCTGATCTTCAGAGAATTGACTAAGCAAAGTGTAATTAGATCTTCTACCGGGCATTTCCATGGAAGAGAGAGTTTTCGCGATCTAGATGAGAGAGTTTCCCGATCATATAACTATAAGCATCAAACCCTAGGAAACCGCCATTGTTGAAGAAGTTCGGCGAGCTAGCTAGCCACTTGTTTCTCTCTCTAGTTTTTCATTTTCTTTTTGTTTCTTACTTTAAAAAAAAAAATTCTCTCTCTCTCTCTAATGGAATTGGAATTTTATTTTTTTGGGTTATCAGATGAAAGAAACTGTGAAACTTACTCGGTGCGTTTCTGTTGATAATTTCGTTATATTCCTCTTTTGTCCCCCCTTTTTTGGAACTTTTGAGATTTTTTATTTTTTTGTCAAAACAATTCTCCAATTTAGTTTTCTGAATGAATAATTAAGAGTTTTGTGCAAAAGAATTATCAGAGTCGCCAATTTTTGCAATTTTACCCTCTATCATTAAAAAATACAGAATAATCCTATAAAATCCAAAATAATAGGTAATTTAACCCTTTTTCGTTATTGTCAATTTTTTAAAATTATGATTAATAAAATATCAAATCGAAACCCTCAAGACGACGAGCGCAATTCTACCTTTATAATTTTAAAAATCAAATGTATGTGATCGTGAAAACGTTTAAAATATATACATAAGGACTATATTGCCTATTATTTTAGACTTCATATGATTGTTCTGCATTTTTTGGAAGTGGAAGGTAAAATTGCAAAATTAAATTGACAAGTTTGAAAGTTTTTTTTGCACAAAATCCTATAATTAACTATTTGTCCTTATTTTCGTAGTCGACCATGATATTTATTCTAATATTTTATGCAAATATTATCGCTATGTTATTATCTGAATTCAAATCCGCATAAGATATATATTATTGATGAATTTGTTATATATATACAAGTGATTTTTTTTTACTTTACATATTATTATTTGCTGCAAAAAGGGGAGTCAAAATTACCTAAACAAAATCTTCTGTTTAAACAATTAATCTGTGATCGATGAATGCTACTGACAAAAAAAAAATGTTTTGGTGAAATGGCAACTGAAATTGGAAGATAAAGAATAAAGTAAACCAAATAGTGATAGTAATCCTATTGAAAGAGGAAACGCAAAGCTAAAATACGAACATGCCCACGTGTAAAAGACTAAACCATGCATGTTGCCCATAAATTCCAAATATTTCAACCTATGGAATTGATCTTACACCAATCTGAATCCGTAACATTGGTTCCGAGTTTCATTCACCTTGAGCTTGAGGTAGTCTAAAAATTCAACATTAAAAGCCTTTATAAACGTCCATAATTATTCAACATTATAAAGTTCATAATATATATTTTTTCTTTAACATCTTTTTATCGACAAAATCTGATACATAGTCAATCTCTACTACGCAGAGTAACACGACTTAGTGGAATCGAACTCCGGTGGAAAAGGCGGAGTCAAATGAACTTACACTTGACTAAAGACACGCCCTATAAAGTTGATAATATATGATAGTCTTTTATAAAAAAAATGGAAGTGAAGGAATGTATTCGTGTTTGAGGGGGATGTAAGATGTTGATATGTATTCATGTATCCAAAAACGGATGGGCTAGTGTCTTTATGTTCCTTTGTCTATTCAAACATTATTTCTTCTGACTGTGACTTCTATACCATGCATGCATCTTCTCTTCTTTTCTTTTTATCGTTTCTTTAAGTTGACAAACAAACAAATATCTTCTTCTTCTTTTTTTGTCTTTTCAAATATGGTATTTTTAGACGATTTCGTATATATGAACAAGATGTTTCGTTTTCTTTTCTGCTTATCCATTCTTTTTATTTGAATTTAGTTATGTTTGTTTGTGTGTTATAAATGAACTACTTACTCATTATGTTTCGTGTTATTATTCTTAATTCCTTCATGTTATTTTAGCCTATCTAGTTATTTTTTTCACAACCATACAAAATTTATCTTGTACTTTAAAGTTAAAACTAGTTACTTTTGATTTTACTTCATAAAAATGTTGTTTGTATAAATAAATAAGAGTACATACTTAGATAAATCGACGAGAAAGTGCATGTTTAAAATCTTAATACGATACTACTTGTATAAGAAAGAAATTATTCTCTAAACTCAACTTCATAAATCTTTGATCTTAGAGACATCACCTTTAACACGGCCCAGAAAAAACCATTAATGTTGTTTGATAGAAAATAAAATGTTGTTTCATCATCTCTATAGCGAACTTTCAAGTTTGAAGTGGACTATACACTAATAATAATAATATTTTATTAAAAATTACAAATATGTAAAATAGTGAATCGTGGCTAACAACTAAAGATTATTGAAAATTACAATATGTTAACACCGTTCTTATAGAGAGAAAGGCACTTTCACATCCGAAATGGCTGGGGAGAGGAAAGGTTCCTTTTTATCTATTAACATAAAATTCTATTATTACTAATACTAAGGTCAGTAGTCAAGATCAAATTCTTCTATCCCTAAAGATTTTCAGATTCTTCCGGATAGTCAAGGAGCTGTCATTAATTTATCTATCAAGTTATCAACGCAGCTTGGACAATAAATAAATATTTAAATATTGCATGTTTATATCATTTGATCCGCTAAGGTTCATCGAATACTGCCAGGTTCATGCACTCAACGCATTTTTGTCATTAACTTTATATTTTTTTAGCCATGGCCTCCTAGATTTTTTCAGTGAATTGCTTCTTCTTTTCCTTATCCTTTTTTCTTTTTTTTTTGAAAGATTTGGCATCTTTCATAATTTAAATATTACGGCTGCTGAGAAAATAAAGTAGGCAAGTAGCTACTAGCTAGTATGTAAGGAAAAATTTGGGTTTGTTCATACCTTTTTAAACTAGTATTTTCCAAAAAAAGTGCTAAAACATAACAATTTCATTTTTCTCCTTAACTATTACGATTCAACTACAAACATATATTTTTTCTACGCATAAATAGCAAATTGATTATATATTTTATGTAATCTATATGTTGCAAAAATTCGAAATTGTGTGTAATATGTAAAACCGGAGCATAAAATTGGTGTACTATAAATTTAAGAGCATTGGAAAATGATCATGATTCATGCCAAGAACTATTCTAAATCTAGACACAAGAGGCCTCGAATAGATCTAACCAATCTAGATGAATTGTGTTTAATATTGTTGCTTAATTCCCACTCGTGCAACTATCCATTTAATAATTGTAATTATTCGTAGTCTATATAGTATATACTCTTCATAGATTTTGTTAACTGGTGTTTCTTTGGATTAGAAAAAAAAACAAAAAAAATTGCGATACTTGATAAGAAATTATAAACAGTTTAACTTTAACAAAAGGAATACAAATTATAAAACAGCTTTTACTAATCGAGGGTATTGAGGTAAATGATGCTCAATTTCTCCGTGGGACTTATTATTTTGAAGAATAGAGATTGTCATGAATATATATAGACCCCACATGTTGACGAAAACGCCTGACCAAACGGGAAAACTCCGTCCTGACACCGTTAATAATATAACCCGTCAAAATAAAGTATGGGCTTAAAACGTTAATTTTGTTGGGCTAGGTTTTAAAAGAATGGCCCAAATAAAGGAGATCTTCGTGGTCCGCGTAACAGAGGATCACTAAAATCCCTTCTTCCGATTAATAAATTCCAGCAGCCTTCACATCAACACGCCCTAAAACCGCTCTCGAGAGACGAATCGCTCCATCTTCTTCTAGAAGCTTCTTCTTCGTCGCCTTCAAGGTCACACGACAATGGAGTTCTGGGGTAAAACATCTCCTATCTTCCTTCGTCTTCTTCTTCGTTGCCGCGCTTCGTTTCCTGTATTTAGGGTTTTTTTTAGCTTCTAGTTTCATCACTTTTTTTCGTTTCCATGCTTTTTCTACTGTTTATTCTATGGAATCGTCTGGTTAGCTAAACGAGAAACGAGAATTGTGAGTTTGTATGACATATTTAGTGTATAGACTGTTCGTCTTCATGGAAAATTGGGGAAAACTTGAAATTTTTCAACTCGCTAGGGTTTATCTCCGAGATTTCTAGTTTCGTTACTGGGGATTTGTGGCGGACTTACTGATTTGTTTGTTTTCGGTGCGTTTGCAGGTGTTGAAGTTAAGAATGGCACACCACTTCATATAGATCCTGGGGTAGATATGCTCGTGCACATCTCACAGGTACTTTTGTATTCCAAGCTTGATTTGATTTATAACAAGGAATTTTACAGTGACGTTTGGTTTATTTTTTATTGAAGGTTGCTTTGGGAGAGAATGAGAGCAATGTAACCGAACCAATCCAGCTTTACGTGACAGTTGGACAGGATAAGCTTCTCATTGGAACGCTATCTCATGAGAGGTTTCCTCAGCTGGCTACGGAGATTGTGTTGGAAAGGAACTTTGCGCTGTCTCATACTTGGAAGAATGGGAGCGTTTTCTTCTCTGGTTACAAAGTTGATGCATCTGATGATCCATATCCTTTATTGTTCAAACATTTGTTGTTATCGCTTAAACTCTACAAGCTTTGTTGATGAATATCATTTGGGGAATTGTTGTTTTACTCTGTTTTTGACTTCCTTGACTCTCTATCTCACCGTGACTGATAATACGACTGACGCTGAACTTGAGGCTGCTGGTTACAGAGGTAAATGGGGCATTCATATCCAGTCCTGCTTTGATTTGTCTCCAGTTATCTGATTTTAGTTTATTTTAATAACATCAATCTCTTATAAATTGATGTGGCCTTGGCTGAGCCAGCTGCTCCGAAATCAGCTGCGAAACAGGTGAACTTTCAATTGCCAAATGAAGATGTCAAGGCCAAGCAAGATGATGAAGCTGATGATAGTGAAGAGGAGTCTTCAGATGATGATGAGAACTCTAACTCTGAAGACTCTGGAGATGAGGAGGTACTTTTGTCTATATACTACTAGCTCAATTTGTTGTAGAATTTTTACTTAAGCTCAGTGACATGTTAACTAAACCTATAAACAGTGGTACTAGAGTTATCTTAAGTACGTTTTGTCACTTTTATATTTGCATTTTTCACATGAATCCTGATTGCTTATTGTGTTTCAGCCCTGTCTCACATTTCTTTAATCCTTATCATTGCTGCTTTGTAAGGTTGCTGCTGCAGTTGGCAGTGAGGAAGATGATGAAGATGACTCATCAGACGACGAAGAAGATGACTCATCAGAGGAGGAGACCCCAAAGAAGGTAACATGACAGTCTCTTTATATGTGCTTGTTGATGGGAAGCCTATGCTTGTTCTGTCTTATTTTCTTTTGGGAGCAATTTCGCTACTTCTGTTGTCAAACTCGAATCTGATTCTAAGTTTTCTTGGTTTATAAAAGCCTGAAGAACCCAAGAAGAGGTCTGCAGAAGCCAACTCCTCCAAGAACCCTGCTTCCAACAAGAAGGCTAAGTTCGTAACTCCTCAGAAAACAGGTGATTAATCCTTTTATCAATCTCCCCATTGAATCCTTGTTTTACCGAAAGAAAGAAAGATGGATTTGTTTAATTGAAAACATTTGTGACAAAAACAGAGACAAAGAAACCGCATGTCCATGTTGCAACTCCTCATCCATCAAAACAGGGGGGTAATAATTCTGGTGGAAGCAGCATTGGAGAGAAAGCGAAGCAGCAGCAGACACCGAAGTCTGCAGGAGCGTTTGGGTGCAAGTCGTGCAGCAGGACCTTTACTTCGGAAATGGGATTGCAGTCTCACACAAAGGCCAAACACAGTGCAGCTGCTTGAAAATCATAAGAAGAAGTAGCTTGATGACTATCCTCTATAATATCTACTCTAGAACTTTGATGTCTTTTGGTACTCAAATCTGGAACTTGCGAGTGAGCCAGTTTTAGTTGGTCTTTTTTTCAGGCGTTTTATCCTGTTTTTCTTTTATCGTTTTGGTAGCTGAAACATTGCTAAACGTTTGTTTGTGCTTGGTAGTAATATGGATATTAAGTCTTTTTGGAGACTTCTCTAGTGAAAACCTACATTTGAAGTTTCTGTCCAAAATTTACATTGATTGTAGATTAGCCGCAAATCAGCTAATCAATACGTGACATAAACCAATGGACCCGAAAATAAGGATTTTGAGCGTTTTAGTGGTTAACATGCAACCACACTAGTTTGAATATATGAATATAATATGAACAGATGATTAACAAGAAGCAGGTTTGCCCGAGTGGTTAAGGGGGAAGACTTAAGTTCTTCTGCACATAAGTGCGCGTGGGTTCGAACCCCACAGCCTGCATTTATTTCTATTCATTTTTTATTAATAAACTTTTGTGATCCTTCCACTTTTTTGCTGTCTCACAAAGGTTTCCAACTTCCGCTTCGTATGTTTCTGGTGTGAATGAACCACCAAATCGCACCAAGAATTAAAATACTAACTCTCCTACAATTAAGCCGAACAAAAAATAAGGAAACTTTTTGGGTTTTAATGTAAAAGAAAAAAAAAAAGGAAACGTTACAACTTACAAACTTATTGGTTTCTATTTTACAAGCAAGTATTAGTTTCCTTTTAATCGTTAGCTTACTTTTTAAGCTGCTTTATTTTTTTTTATATAGCTCGCTCTGTTTTTGTAAGAAGCTTAATTTTTGATTTTGCCCTAATGCTGCGACCCCAGCGTTTCGTCTTTGTTAATGCCGGAATAACAATGGAAGTATCCTTTGAACCTGAGGAGGAAGAAGAACGCCAAACCAGACAATACATCGATGTGGCAGACTCATCTAGGGTTTCACAGAACGAGAGTGAGAATCAAAGAAGGTCGTCAGAAAGTGTTTGTTCATCATCGTCTTCAGGATTGCAGGAGGATAAAGAATCATTATGTTCGATCTGTATGGAAGTTTGGACCAACGGTGGCGAACATCAAGTCTCTTGTCTTCCCTGTGGACACTTGTATGGATTTTCTTGCATCAACAAGTGGTTACAGCATCGACCAAGTTCAGGAAAGTGTCCTCAATGCAACAGAGCATGTAGCTTGAAAGATGTCGTGAAAATTTACGGATCAAAGGTTGCTGCAGTAGATGATTAAGCACAAAAGAGAATCGCACTTCTCGAAGAGAAGACTGCGAGTTTGAGTAACAAAGAAGCACAATGGAGAGAAATAGAAGCAGAGTTACGATTAGAAGTTAATAATCTGAAGAAGAAGATCTATCAAGAACGTCATGGACATGAACCCTCTTACAGCTTTAAACATAAGGGAGAAGTGTTAGTTAATGGTGGTCGTATATTCGACATAGATGGTGGTAGACAGATTCTGTTATTAGCCCGTAGGCTCTCAGGCAGTGGTGGAACGTTTGTACTTACGCAAATGAACTTACATTCGGGTGAGATTGAAGATGATATTTTGTTGCCTCGTACCACTAGAGCTATTAAAGATCTTCGTCTTTCCCCTCACAATAACGGGCTTGCGGTATTTGGTACTCTAGGGAAAAAGTTATCAGTCATAAGCTTGGATAGTCACAACACTGTCTTATCTTATGATCATCTACCAGCTGCACCTTGGTCTTGTTCTTGGGATCTCAACAATTGTCACCATGTTTATGCTGGACTACAGAATGGAATGGTTTTAGTATTTGACATGCGTCAAACCACAGGACCTTTGGCATCGTTGGCTGGCGTAACAAGCAATCCGGTTCATAGTATACACCATCTCTCTGCTAATTCCACTCCAACTTCTGATGTCCGTGCGCTCTTATCCGCTTCTTCCACGGGGCTGTGTCAGTGGAACATCAGTGGCAGTGAGGGATGGTCAACTTTGGTTTCTGTTACAAGAAACCTAGGAATTTGCATTGCCTCCTCGTATTGTCCTCGCAGCAATCATGTGGTTGCCTCTTATAAACGGAGAGTTGAATCTTCTGAGGATAGTAATGGTGTAGAAGGATTTCATGTTTGTCTCAAGAAAAGAGGTGATGGTTCTTATTCTCAGAAACAGTCATCCACACAACCTATAGTAGATTCCATCGGTTTGCCAAGAACAGAGATTATAGACTTTGGCAAGGAAAGGTCACAACTTTTTGCATCTTATGAAGAGTCCACTCGTGAGCTCATCTTGCAAGATCCTTGGTCTTTTGCTGTCTCTCAACGCTTTGCATTGTCAAGTCATCTTCCGCTTCAAGACGTGAAATACGCTAACCTCAATGGATCAGGTCTGCTCGGTCTCTTAACCGATGATAGATTGCAGTTTCTTAGAAGCGAATCGCCATGAAAAGGAAAAAGATTGATCGTTATTGTAGGGATAGAAAATCAGTGTTTGTGTAAGAGCAAACATATATGTAACGTGACCAACTTCTCTATTTTTGAATGCTACAATTAGTTATAAAATCTATAGCTCCAATAAATTGTTTAACGTAAAGAAGCATATAATCTTTTGCGAGTTTTAAGCTTTTCATGAAATTGGAGGATCTCTTTGATCAGTTAAGTTCTTTTGTCTAGCTATAAGTCAAAAATTCTTTGCCTTAAAAGGAATCGGAAAAATCCCTTCAAAGTATATTTCCTCTTTACTATAAGTATCCTTATCTTCCACACTACACACACCATCTTCTGTAACAATCGTATCATCAATTCTCTCTATTCACACCAACAAGAATTTAAATAGCTAGCGAATCCAAAAAAAAAAAAAAAGAAAAAAAAGAAATCATCTTTTTATCCTCGAGCATTTCGTCGCTCAAAAACTCCTTTTTCCCTTCAATGGTTAGGCACAATTGTCCCAATTTGCCCGAATCCCGCAATGAAGAACGCGATTGCTTGCGCGAAAAGGTATAGATAATAATGATTCTTCCCAAAAAACGCGTCATAACATCCCACAAATAACAGATACATTCCTACACCGAGTTCCAACACATGAATTCTGCCATAACACACAAAAAAGTACTATTAGAATTAGTTTGGTACGGGTTATCAGTAACCGAAATCAAGTTGAAAAAGGGAAGAAGTTTTTTACCTATCTCCGAATCTAAAACGAAGAACCTTCTTTGGAGTCTTGGTGGCCGATTTAGCCTTAACATCTCCCAGCTTCTCTGTAACAATCCACTCATTAACTCTTCCGCCTTCGAGTAAACCGATGAAGGTAGCTTTTGTTCTGTGAAGAGACATAACATTCTCGAACAGAATCCAAAACACCATAAGATGCAGTGACCTATAAAACACATGTAACCAACAATGAGAACCCGCATAAGACTTGAGCCGCAAGAAACTCTCGGAAATGTTCTTACCTTGGTGTCCCAACGGCGTTGAGGAGAGTAATGACTGAAGGAATATAAACCGCTCCCCATTTCGGAACAGAAACTTCCGGTACAAGAACTGTAGCGGGTAAGATCACACAGTAGAAGATGAAGGTAACAATGTGTGCCACTAGCTTTCTAACCACGAAGAAGCTATATATCACATGAACTTTCTTCCACAAAGTCACGTTCTGCCAAAAAAAAAACAGAGAGAAAACAATACCGGTTTAATTTGGTTATGTTATTATATCTTAAAGACTTTCTAATTCGTCTAGAGAGATTGAAGGAAACCTTATTGGTCATGATTTCGAATGCCATTTTCCTGAAAAGATTAGCTGGACCACATGACCACCTGTGCTGTTGATACCTATAAGCCTTGAATGTACTTGGCAACTCGTTTTTAACCTATAGTTGACATAATTATTTACATGTCAACCCTTAAGTGACACTACAAACATATTTTATGAAAAAATATTTATACCTTTAACGAACCAAGGTACAAGAATTTCCAGCCCTTGAGACTAGCTCTCACGGCCAAATCCATATCTTCCACGGTCGTTCGATCTTTCCAACCACCAGCTTCGTTTAGTGCCGATATTCTCCATATTCCCGCAGTTCCTAAAATTTATCGTACCAAAACACATTCACGACTTATGAATAAAACGGTTCCAAAAAAATGTTCTAAGTTAGAAAAAGTACCGTTGAATCCGAAGAAAGCGTAAGTAGAAGAACCAACTTCTTGTTCGACCGTAAAATGATAATCCAAAGACATTTCTTGCATCCTTGTCATCAAACATTCATCCGAATTTACTGCAAAAAGTTGAGTAAAATAGTGGAATTCAATTATTTTGTGTAGCAAAACAATAAATGTGGTGGTATTAATGAAAGACATCGATAAACAAGTTGGTGAAATTGGAAATCAATTATGAAATCATAGACAGCTAGCTCAACAACAAACCCAATTAGATTTCAACAGCTCGTTAGATTTTGTCACATGATGATCTCTTTATTTTGTAAGTTTCTCTAAAAGCATAATTAAAAAAAAAAAAATTGAAGTGTCAATTGGTCGTATCAGTGATCTGAATTAAATAATAAAAACAAAATTTTTACATAAGACATAAAAATAAAAAAAGTGAGTGGTGAGAGTGAGAGTGACAGAGACTAGAGTTAGAGAAGGGAGTAGCTGGGTCCCACGTTGTTGCACATGGAGGGAGATGGATGGTGTTGGCTAAGTACACGTGGCGGATCTAGTGAAAATGACAAATCTACCCATAATATTTTTACTAAATGACAAAACATTACCCCTATGACCCTACACTTCCCAATATGTTCTCTGCACTCCATTAATGCTCCACTAATCTCTTCACTAATTTTGATCAAAATATATTCCTAAATTTCTTCTTGTTTAACTTTGGTATTTAGTTACGATGAAATTTTTGGAAAAACAATTTAATTTTGGTCTAGAAAAGTTAAGTGGAATGTGGTTATTAATATATATATGGTGGATAAATACTTAGTAAAATACTAAATACGTGACAGCTTTTTGGGTACCAGAAGTTATAGATACACGAGGTGGACAATTTTTATTGACAAATAATTTCTTTTCTTTTCATTTGACTAAAATATGAGGAGAACATTACTATGTTGAAATGAGTGGAAAATCAATTTATAGGAAGAAAAAGCCAAAACACCAAAACCAAATTTTCACCAACTCTTGCAGACATACCAAATACAAATGACCAAAAAAGTAATAACTTTTATATCTGTTGATGT